ATTCAGAGAAAGAAGCTTTTGAGGGTAAATATAACGAAGCTGCTGAGTCCATGGAGATAATGGCTATTGATAAAGAAGTGGCTGAAGAAAAAGCTGATCAGTTGCAACAAGAGGTTAATATGTTGAAAGAAAAGATTGAAGAAATTAGTGTAGATTTAACTGTGTTTAAAAAACATGAGAGCGGTGAGTTATATATATTTTTTTATTACAAAATTTTAGCAGTATAATTCATAAATATTGATTATAATTGATTTATTCAGGACTCAGTGATGAAACGAGATCAGCTATTGAATTCGCTCAACTTGAGAAACAAAATGAACGACTTAAAGAAGCTCTCTTCAGGTAATATAATTGCTTAAATTAATATTTTAAATACCGGCAATAATAATAATAATAATAATATTATTATTATTAATAATTAGGCTCCGTGAAGTTACAAGCGAATCGGAAGCTGAACTAAATAAAAAGCTTAAGGGTTTAGAAAAAGAATTGTCATCTCTTCAAGATATTCAAAGTTATTACCGTTTTACATCGTCTAATTCATATTTTATATTAGTTTTCATAAAACTTTGATTAAAATGATGTATTCTTAATTAATTTCGCCTATAGTGCAACGCGATCAAATGAAAAACCAATTGGATGCTGCTGAAATTGCCATTGAAGATTTAAAGAGTCAGTTAGATGATGTCATGCATAATGCAGATATGCTTGAACAACTTACTCAAACAAATCTGATGCAAGGAGAGGTAAATTATTTATTGGAGTCTATAACAGTTTTTTGTCATTGGAATTTAAGTGTGTTACTGACACTTTAAATTTGGTTACTATTAGCAAATTGAAGAAATGAAAAATACCATTGAAGATCTTGAAGCTCTAAAAGAATTAAATGATGAACTTGAAGAATCTCATATTGAAAATGAGAAGCAGCTTCAGGAAGAAATTGGTATGCTTTGAATGTCGGGTACTTTTTTTTGTGAATAATATAATTTTTAAATTTAAATTTTTACCTATTTTACAACAGATCGCAAAGATATGCAAATTCGTGAATATAAAAGACGCATTGAGTCAACAGATGAAGCAAATGCAGATTATGAAAACACGATCTCCAATTTCCGTGAACTTGTTGCTACATTGCAAAGGTGAATATTTCAAAAAGAAAAGAAATAATAAATAAAATAAAATAAAAAATTTTAAAGAAAGTTAATTTATTTACAAAATACAGTGATTTGGAACAGTTCCGTCGAAAAGAAGAAAATCAAAATTCAGGAACAGAAAATCTTGGCAGTGAATCTCAAAAAATGCATGATCTAAGAATTAAATTAACTACCACTGAACTTAAAAATCAAGCAAAACAGATTGATCTGGAACTTCGAAAATTGGATGCCATACAAGCAACTGAAAATTTGGAATATGTTCAGGTAGATATAATTACAAACTAATATGATTTTATGATTAATTATTAATGATCTAATAATTATTCACTATTTTCTATATTTAGCCTTACTTACCTGATACCTTTATCCGTACCGAAAATGATTCAATTCTTTGTTTACTATTGTTAAAAAGACTCGTATTCAAATCAGATTTAATTATTAAGCAGATTGATCAGAAGCATAATATTGCAGAAAAATTAAACACTGTTGTTCCAGAACAATTAATTGCAGTCTGCGATGTACGTTTGAATATTTAGTTATTATTTATTGAATTTATTATGACGTTAATATTTTATCTGTCAAACGAATAGCTACGACAAAAATTAGCGTGGTTTTCTAGTTTGTCTCAGCGCTTTGTTACTTTCATAAACGGTTGCCCAGTTGAAACCTTTTTAAAGATGGGTCAAGTCTATCATGATCTTATTGGAACGGAGCGTCGGTTTGTGTCTTTTTCTATAATATGTATTATTCCTTAATCAATCGGATTTGTATTAATTTAATTTCACGTTAACAGTATAAATTCAATCGTGGATTTGTTGAAAAAAGAAGAACTAAAAGAATCTGAAAATATTGAAGTTGTTCAAAGGTTTGTAATTTGTCTCAATAAAATTCTTATCGTTTTTCATATGTTCTAATTTTTTTACATTGACCAGATCAATAGCGCAATTAGAACACTTGGCAGAAATATATCTTTCCAACACTAAATTAGATGAGGCTGATAAACATTATTCTTGTGCCAGAGCATTGGATTTCAATTCTGATACTATTGCAGTGACTCTTGGTCATTTAAAACAAGCTGTTGCAACAGCATGTAAAGATGAAGGTCAGATAACAATAGTTTATTTAACTACTTTACACATCTGTTATTATCTGTTATTAAATATATATTTCATACAATCTTTAGAAATTATTGTATCCGATAGCTCTGAAGAATTTCATTCTGAATTTTTCCAACCTTTGCAAGCATTGGTAACACAATCTCGGAATAGTAAAGTCATGGTCAGGTATGTGAAATATCTGAGTTTAAACTCCAGAAATTAGTTAATAACCATTATTTCCCATTTAAAGGAAATTGCATCTTCGTCTTGATGAATTGTCCGGAAAATCTTCCTCTTTGAAATTCGATATTTTGGCGCAATTTAAGATGTGCCACTCATTAAGCACGAAATTAACAAATTTCTGTTTTGAGGTTTGTATTGTTTGAATACCTTTTAAACTTTTTTTTGTTCAGATGCTTAATTTTTTTTCTTAATTAGGTTTGGAAGGGTGTTTCGGATTATATTAATGGAAAGAAGGGCACAAAAGATGAATTAAAACTTGCTGGGCTTCAGCAAATTATTTACACTGCCACTGAAAGTATATTGGGTGTCAACGAAATGAAGATGTGGGAAGGGTGTACAAAATCTTTGCAAAATTTATGTCAAGAAATAGGCAATCTAAATAATGTTGTTAACGATCCTGATAATGCGGAAAATGGTACTATTTATGTTTTTAACATAAAAATATCATAATATTTATGCCATTTGGTAGTTGAATTTTCGAATTTTAACTCTACATAATTTTGCCACTCATTATTTTTACAGTATCTAAACATGAAGCTCCGTGGATTATACGGTCCAAAGAATTAAAAGCTGAAGTTATTATAAACGTCGATATGGAACGTAAATTACAACAGTCTAGCGAAAAAATTCAAGAATTATTTAAAGAAATGAAATTGAAGGTATATGATGATTATTTGCTGATTTATTTAGCATTCTATTCTTTTTAATCCGTGTTAAACTTCCGTTTATATTTATTTAAAGGACCAAGCTTTGCAAGAAGCAGGTGTTAAAATAGGATTACTAGAGAGGCGTGTGGAAACTGTTAAGCAGCAGGTAATATATACATATATATTTCGTTTATAATCAAAATTGTTTCTAACTTTTTTTTTTTTTTTTGCATAGGCTGATAGGATTAATTCTTTAGAGCAAGAGCTTGCTAATAAAAACAAACAAGAGTCAGAATTTGAAGAGGTTATGGGCAAATTACATCACGATCTCGAAAATTTGGCACATCAACATCAACAATCTTCTACTCTGATTGCTAATCTTGATGGGAAAGGTTTGTATCTTTCTTTCATTCTGTTATTTATTTTAATGTATCAATAAAATTAATAAAATTATGTTTATTTTTTAATAGAATTACCATCCGAGCAACCTAACCGTCCTCATGAGGAAGATGATCTTGGTAGTGATGGCATGGGAATAATATCAGAAGCTAGTCCTTTAGAAACGCAGCATTTAACTAGTCAGGTATTTATCATATGAACAAGTCTTATCTCCATTTAATTACATATTTAAACTCATTATTTTATCCTTTTTTAGATTGAGTCCCTAAAACTCGCGGTCCGCTATTTAAGAGCAGAGAATTCTCACCTAAAAGGAAAGGAAGCTTTGAGTGTGTTGAATTGGCACTTACAACCTAAGAGACCTCGCAGTATTCAAAATCAAAATAATAGTGAAGAGTTATCGAATATTGCACAAGAAGCAAAATCATTGCTTAAAGTACCTCATTCATTGCATTTAGTTTTGAGTTTAATGTATATGACAACCGCTTATTAATTTAACATTCGTATTATAGGACTTCCGTTCCAATAGTTCATCGCCTCGTGTTGTTCGTATTACAAAGACATTGGAAGACACGAAGAAATGGCAGTCGGTAAAGAAAACACCAATTTATCAATATCAAATACAACAATCTGTTATGTACACGCTTCAAAAACGAAGCAACGACTTGAAGTCAAAACTACAACAATTAGGCAAGATGAGCCTGCAAAAGTCTCAGAAACCTTCAAAGGTATGTTAAATAATCTGCTTTTTTAGGTAAACAATTAACCAATTAACATATATTATCAAATATTTAGAACGGTATTGTAGATACACGACCTTCTCTTGTTGGACGAATACGACTTCCGCTTTCAGACACTCCCAACAATACGCATTCACATAATATTAATATTACAAATCCGTCTGATTTTGAGAAGATTCACACTATATTTGTTAATTGATTTATCTACTCCTAATGTACTAGTACTCTTTTTCAATAAATGTTATTATTAAATGTTTAGGTGGACAATATTTATAGCAGAGGCGTTTTTACAATGACTGCTTGCATAAGAATCAATATGTTGAGATACAAAAGAATGTACCAAAATGTATATTAGGTAAAGGTAGTAGTTAGCTGATTATTAATAACACGAACTTTACATTAGGTTTTATTTTATCTCAATTATTGTTTGTTTTTGATTAGAATTTGATTTTTTGCATATTTATTTATACCATTCTAAATACTGTATGATGCATGAGTATTTTATCTCATATAATTTTATTATTTCAAAATATATAGCTAAATTAGATATAAATAAATGATCTAGTTTTTTGTATGATAAGTATATTATATATTTATATATAAAATTATTAGTATAAAAAACATATATATAAATTTGAGCTATTTAAAGTTATATATTATTTTAATTTTAAAATTAGTTTTTTAATATATATATATATATGCAGTATATATACGTATACGTATAATTTTGTTTATTTAGTAAATTATTTACAGTATACTGTAGTTGTTATATTTAAAAAAATTTGTTTATAAATTTTTTATTTAACCTAAAGCTAAAATTTTAAATATTTTATTCTAAAATAAAATTTTTTAAGATTTTTTTTAACTTTTTTATAATACTGTAGTTAGAATTTAAAGTTATCTCTTATATACAGTATATATATATTAATTTTTATATTTTTATTAATTTATTTTTATAATACAGTATACTTGTATTACTGTAGATAATTTATATATACTGTATATTGTTATAGTACTATATATATTTTTTATAATAAATAATCTTTTAGATAATTAATTTATTAGTTTATTCAAAAAATGCTATTTTAAATACAGTAATTTAAATTTATTAAAGTTGGGTTTAATAGTTTAGTTAATAAGCTTGAATTAAGCTAAAAACAAAAAATAATTTGTAATTAAAAGTTCAAATAATGTAAAATTTGAACTAAATATTTTAAAAAGATTATTTAAATAAGTTAAAATAATACGTACTTGAATAAAAATATATAATTTTAATTATATATAGTGCACCAAGTCACTTTTTATTAAAAATCATGTATTTTTTAAAAATCTTAAGTTTTAAATATTTTTTAAAATGTAATTGATAAAAACTATTGTTTTCATTAGTTCTATCAAACTACTAGTTAGAATTTTTAAAAAAGTTTATGGTTTAAAGTTACAAGGTTTAAAGCTACTATGATTTCAAAATTTGGCATATAATATAAAAATTAAAAAATTTTTTATTTTTATTTTTTATCCAATCAGAATTAGTATATAACTCATTCTGATAGGCTAAAAAGCGTCTATATACACCCCAAATTTGGTGCATTTTATATTGAAGTGACATGGTACACCATAGTTCAATTAGGGATTTTAGAATATATATATACAAAATAGGATTTTAATTTGATGTATAATATTATGAAATTTTGTTATAAAAATTATTTTGCTTCAAATTAATAGCAGTCCGATAAGGTGCACTTATTGGAGGTTGTAAAGGATCCAAACTTTTTTTCTGTAATGTAAAAAATTTATTAAAAAAACAATTTTAATTTTTAAATAGTTATGGTAATTTACCTCAAGCGGATAAGTCATGTCTGAATCAAATCCACTGGATAAAAAAAAATTAGTGATATCAAGAAAAAAGGATATTTATTAATATTTATTAGACTATTATTTATATACCTTAAATCACCACAAGCTATGAATGGCACGATCACACGATTTGGGCCCAAAAGTTCATTCCCTGAACCTTAATAGAGAATTGAATAAGTTAATTTTATTATAAAAAAAGAGACATTGCATTAAATTACAAACCGTATGATAAATCAAGTAAAGGATCTATCATTGTTGGTTTATAATCTTTGGGTGGTGTATAATTTTGACACACAATAAATGCTTCTACAAAATATTAAATTCAAATATGAAAATTTGAAACGAAATCTCAAATCAAATATACCAAATAAATCGTACAAACCAATACTGGAATTTCTTGAGCTTCTTGGCTTGCTGCAAGTAACGGTTGGAAAAAAGATTTTAAGTTGAGCATATAATAGAGTGACATCTTTACCGCGGAAAATTTTTGCCACAAAAGTTCCACCAGGCTTCAGTATATTAGTTGTGATATTTAAAGCTGACAGTAATAATTGTGCTTGAATATATTCATCCATATCATGAAGACCAGTCACTTTAAAATGATTAGAGTTAGGATAAGAAAAAAGAAGATAAATTAGTAATTCAGAAAATGATATACCATCAGGTGCACCATCACAGACAACAAGGTCAGCCAACTCTCCTTCAAAACGTGAAACAATTTGTTCTGCAGTAGATACTTTTGTAATGTCTCCTTGAATCTGAATTACACCTTCAAGAGGTGCCTAAGAGCAGAATTAAAGTATAAATTATTTGATACTTAATAACTAGACAATTATATGTACATACCATTGCTTGCAGATCTACGGCAACAATCTTTGGTAACGGAGCATCTTCTGGACGAATTTCACTGTTATAAAGATATTTGTTGATTATCATCTATCATTTTTGATTTTTGTTCAATGATTTTAAATATGTGAACATACTTTAGCTTTTTTGACAAAACTTGAGACCAGCTGCCTGGTGCAGCACATAAATCAACTGCACGTTGAACGTCTAAACTTTACAATGAATATGCTTTGAAAATTTTTATAGTTCAAAATGATGGTGAAATTTAACCAATCACCTTCAAATATATTAAATTCTTCGTCAATTTGTAATAACTTAAATGCACTACGAGCTCGCCAACCTTGCTCTTTGGCTAATCGATAATAAATATCACGTTTATCCTTGGATGATTTTCCCATTTGATTAACGAAAAATGCAAAATCGATATGTGCACCTCTACTCTATTTTGATCATCAAATTTTGATATTGTGCGGGGACGTCCCCCAAAATCCCGTTCCAAACCCTGTAGATTGGGTCTTGGTACATTCTACTATTTACATGTAGTAGCAAGATGCCCAAGTATAATCACGAAAAATGCACAGTCAGGAATTTTTTTTTAAGTAGGAGCAAATTTTATACATATGGATTTGATTAAATTAGAATTTTAGGAATTTTAGGGTAGAATTTATTTTATATAAACCTACACTCCAACCCTAAATCTTAATTCCCAAATCTACCTAAATTCGGTGTTGGCAATTGAGACATAATAAAAATTTTATATGTCCATATGGCCATGCCAAATGAATTTTAAAATCCGTTTCGGTTCACAATGTGCACTACTTTAGTTAAATTCTTTAATTAGCTCTAACGTTATGAAACTACATATACTGTACAATAATTTAGTTTAATTTTTCTTGTCTTCAAAGTTTTAATATCAATTCCATACTTAAAAATACTAAATCTTATATTGAAGTTTAAACCAAATCATTTTAATTTATCAGGAAAGTAGTAATACTATTATCATTACTAATATTGTAATCGAAGTTTTTATTCATAGAACAAATTGACATGTTTTTTAATTGATTAAAAATGTGCCAACAATCTTTTATACAAAATTTTTAAGTCGCAAAAATCTCCAGTTCATTTGTCAGTTTCGTTCGTTAAATGTCACAAGGGCAAATATTTTCATTGTAATCAAAACTTTATATGCAAAAAAACATGAAGCTGAATGCAAATCTGTTTTTCTCATTTACAGTATATGAGATTAAATTGAAATAATATTCATAATCTTTCACGCATTCGTTTAAGTTCACATGGTATTGGTACTCAGATTGTGTTCAATGATACGCCACTTCAAGCAAGCATGACAGTAACTAACGAACCAGGTAACTATGAAACATCAAATAATTTAGGTGAACGAGGCTATCTTGGATTCAAGCATATAACATTTATTGTGGCAGATCATAATGAAATCGGATTAAAATGAAACTGGGGACCTTTCTTGCTCATCTTTAAAGCTTAT